TCACTGGACGGGCACGCACGATCTCTTAATAATATTGTAGGTCACTTGGTACCATTGTAGAAATATTTAAGTGTCGCTTCCTGCTTATAAGTACCTATAGTGACATCTGTTGAGCGATTAAAGAACAAATTTCGATATTTGAACTTATTAATATATATTTTTAAGATTCAACAAAAATACTAACATTTGTCGAGTTATTGTAAAATGAAAGGCCAAACGATTTTTATTTCTAAATACGATTATATCAATTTTTGATATCGAAATCGAAGAAAATTAAATAATTTAATAGAATCATTACGTTAAACATGAGCTGTACGAGCAGACTCCTTTGCCTTTACCTTTGGAGATAAACACTTATATTATAAAGTGAATAGATTGGCAATGTAAAAGAGAGAAAATATAATAACCTATATGTTAGAGCGAGATAGCTAATAGGACAGTAATTTGCACAATATATGCTCTAGAGCTAATTTGGCGGGAATATATACAAAATATTTTCTAATTATTTTTTAGTTTTAAGTGGATTTTTTAAGAGTATAGTTTGTTTGAATTAAGTGTGCTGTACTCGAATATAACATAAATCAGGAAAATAAACTACAAAATTGCACATTTTTTATGTAATAACGTTATAAATATTTAGGCGCTTTAAACGCAATATTCTAGAACAATCAGAGATATTTTATAAAAGAAATGATAGATAAAAATACTTAATTAAATCCAATTAACCGAACGTTCCCGAATTGAAATTATTTTTATTTATTTATTTATACCTGTAGTTCTTTTCAATTGTAAAGATATTTTATTTATTTATTTTTAACTATAACATTTAAGTCGATCGGTACACATGTATGACTGTAACTACTAATGAACTGTCAGTTTTCTTATATTGGGTTTGCTGGATGAAATCTCTATTGGAGATAAACTCGCCTTTGTGCACTATTATGTTTGTTTTTACATTATGACCACTTATTGTTAGTAATGCGGACTACCAATCCCATTGCCAGCAATATACCTTGTCAGGTCGACCTCCACGTGGTGCCATCTGAAACCCATCGTGCTGAATTTTAGGTGTATTCATCATCATTAACTAACTGATCTGTCTTTTCATCCTTGCCTATCATTCCTCACTGGTGCCCCGTTAGCGTATACCATTAGCGCAGGCTGGGGGTTACCATTCCATTATCATCCATTATAAAAAAAGACATTATGGCTGTGTTTCGGTTTGAAGGGTGGGATATGACGTGAATTTACTGGATACAGAGGAATAACACCTGAGTCCTCAAGAATGGCAACGCATGGGGGGTATCATGGGCGAAACAGTATACTCTGTTATATTCATGGTACTGCTCATGTCTATAGGCGACGGTTACCACTTTCCATCAGGTGGGCTGTCAGCTTGTTTGCCATTCTAAGTTGTATAAAAAAAAAACACCATTTTGAGACATAGTTACATCAGGCAGATCAAGGAAGAAGTTGGTGTCGTGTCGTATCAAGAGGTGAAGAGACTCGCTGACAATCGTAGTGAGTGGCAAGAGCTCCACCGACAAGAGCGCAGCTCTTAAATAGGATAGATAGGTCCTGAGCGAATACTGAGACGACATGATCCGTGAATATGAGCAATCTTTTTTTATTGTAGCTCTATTGTAACTTAATAAATAACCAAAATATTTTTTTTTACAACACAGGGGGCAAATGAGCATGCGGCTCACCTGATGATAAGTGACTACCGCCGTCCATGATCACCCACAACACCAGCGGCATTGCAGGTGTGCTGCCGGCCTTTTAAAAAGAAATATGCTCTTTTCTTGAAGGTTACGTTGTCGTATCGGTTCGGAAATATTGCTGCTGGAAGTTGATTCCAAAGAGTGGTTGTGCGTGGGAGAAAGTGCCTTGAAAAACGTACGGTGGAAGACGGCCACTCGTCCAGATGGTTGGGATGAAACTTTATTTTGTGGCGGGTTGTACGGTGGTGAAAATCAGCAGCAGATATCAATCCGAACAATTCTTCAGAGCACTCCCCATGATAAATTCGGTATTCATATATACATATTGTTAGATTATATACATAGTGTGTCCCCATACAAATGCTTCTAGAAAAGCGGCTCAACTTTTTCATACAATTTTGCGTGATAAATAGTTATGAGTGATTCTTTTATAACTTCTATATTTATTTTATCTTATAATTTTTGCATCTTTTTAATGCGTTAACACTCATTTAATTTATTGAATAATACGTCAAAATACATTTTATGCGTAAGTATAGAGAACACTGATAAAAAAAAAAACGAGTGGGCAAATTTGACAATTGGCTGACAAAAAGTCGACACGTTTTTGAGTCTCGATGCTTTATCTATGTAATCAAAAATTATTTTTAAATGAAGAAACTGAAGTCACGCGTAAACGTATTCCGTCCTTTAAAAATTTTTATCATTTTACTAATACTGACATGATGTTGGTAGAATTGTAAGTGTTGCCTTGTTTACTGGAAAAAAAGCTACTCAGACAATGTTCTTTTCCAAACTATAAAAGAAAACGAAGACGCCGTTTCCTTCAACTCTATCGTGATCACAACGCCGGCTACAAAAATTGTGTACATCATTGTAGGTATAGACCAAAGATAAGAAATAAAAAAAAACCGCGAAAGTTTATAGTTAACCTAAAAAAAAATCATAAATTATCTAGCCAGTTACCTCTATTGATTATTTACAGGTTTTACCACACAGAAAGCCTAGGTTACGTGGATTAGCACAAGTTACCTGACACCAAGAGGGTGGGCTGGTCAGCTCTGGATAGCAACTGGGTGACGTTGTTAGAAGAGAGTGTAGTTTCAAGTTACATCAGGTTAAAAGGATGTGTTATGAAAACAATTCCTTTGCCTATAAAAAAATTAATTAAAAAAATAAAATTCGTTCGTAATTTAATTATGGTTTCGTTTAATATGATTTTACAAATAATGTTTTAAATTTAGAATGTTCACACCGAAGTGTAGCAACGTGCCAATTAACTGTCTATTATCGAAAACAATTTTCAATATTTCTGATTATTGTAAAAAGTGTTTGGAAAACCCTTAAATACCTGAAGTTTCAAATTTGATACCGGGTTTATAAATCGCATTGGGCGCCTACAATCGATTTTATTTTAATATTTGGCTGTTTACATGTTACCAAATGTTTTTTTTTTTCAAAATAAATATATAAAAATATCGTTTTGATTTTTTTTTACTATTCTTTCTCATTAGTAAACACAGTAAAGGGTACACACTTATATATTTTAGAATTTGTTTTAAAAAAATCAGGCTTTTAAGGGTTAAAAATACTGTAGTTTTTTATATTTTGCTTCTAAAGATAAATACTTTTTTTTCTAAGATAAGATTCTAAGACAAAATAGAATCTAAGGTTGACTGGTAGAGAATGTGTACAGCGCTGCAGCGTTAAGTTCGCCTTCACGTTCTAGTACGCTCTCGGAGCACTTTTTAAATAATCAAATAGAAACATAGAAAAAATATGCAATTATATTTTCTAAAATTAACAGATAAATGCGACATTGCAATACTTTGTTATCAACATTCTTATAAATGAATTGTTTCTTAATATATTTCTTGCGGCAAAGTTATTCCCTTGTAACTTGAAACTGATGGGTTAAAACTGAGCGAAGGGGGGCGGAGGGGGGGGGGGGGGCGGGGGGGGGAGTAAACAAATACATCGAAATGCCCAATACAGGAGAAGAAGCGAAATAGGGTACAGAGTGACGGGGGTGAACGATCAAGCTGTGGGGCCCGTTTGACAGTCGGAAATCGCAAATGTCAAATGAATGTCAGATTGACATTCGTATGCAGTTGTTGGTTTTTTGTTAATGGCTTAAATTGGAATATTGACTAATTAAAAATCAAATGTTTTTGTTATAAATTATAATTAAAATAATATCAGCATTATTTTAATGACAATTTTATTTTAATTCTGAATCATTTACTGTTTTTTTATTTTTTTATAGATATTTGATTCTGTCACTTAAAATTAAAAGTAATTTATAATTAGTCAAGATTTATCATTGAAATGCGTTGTACTATAGCTTTGTTTTTTAAAGTTATGGCTATTTATTAATTTTAATTTAGATTCCTAATCCTACATTACTGGTAACCTTATAATATCAAGTTTACATTATTTAACTATTGTTATTTTACATAATATTTAATTAAAAATTATAGTAAAATTGGTGCAAGATGAATTGTTCTATTTCTAGCTGTAGTTTTCTTTTTCTTTCTCATTAATAGTAATAATAAATAAATAGGTATTATTAAAAATAGATTGCACAGTGTGATTCAAATTCCGAACTGTCAAACGTAACCGTTGGGGTTATGAGACGTAAGCACCAGGTACCGATAAACATGTTAGAGTCCATCTTAACAAATCGACAATGTCAAATGACATGGGGCGATGTCAAACGACAAGTGTCATTTTGACATTGGCGATATTGCGAAGTGTGGGCTTTGTCGCTTACAATCGGCTTTTCGCTGAGTTAAAATATATTGTATAGGGATTTTTTTTGTGCGATATTATTAGGTTTCTTTATTCAACTCCTGAAATCGGTTTAATTTCTTTTACATTTAAAAAAAACTATAAAATAGTTTAAGAACTTTATACAAGTTGCTTTAATTTTTTTAATAGAGTAAAATTAACGTGATAGATATGTATGTTTGTATGTAAAATGTATTCTTAACACATATTTTTTAACTTTTCGATACATTTAACAATAGGTGTACATATAATAACAAAAAAATAGTAATTATAAAAAAAATTACAAAATTTCACAGTATTATTTATCGTTTTATTTACTTTTTATATAAGAGAGAACATATTAACAAATACTTGAAAATATTAAGTTTTCAGTTTTTTTTCTCGATAGTGGAATATGGGTATTAGAAAAAAGAACTCAGCGAACACCCGAAAATCAGCGACACAAGGTTGGTAAGGCAGGGAACCACACCAGTACCAACTACTCACAATCTCTGCAGGTGTCTCTGTTTCAAGAACAGACCGTCGGCCAACTGGCCGATACGATTATTGTTCATTTTCCTGGAATCGAAACACAGAATAATCGAATACTGAACTTAATTGGTCGCTGCAAGAAGCTGGCTGGTTGATTTAAAATTAATACGACGTTCTTTTTTTAAAATCCAATTTGTACCGGCTGTAGAGACGATGCTCATTAAAAATGTACAAATCTCAGTTTAACATCGCCTGGTCGAAATTCAAAAATCGTAAAATAAAAAAGTCATTTCAATTTAAAAAAAAAAATCAAAATAAAATATAAGACAGGAAGAGTTATCACTTAGTTATTTTTTTTTTCGAAACATCATGTTGCCATTGTTTCACATTGGGATTGTACCCAATAATTTAGCGACGAAACAACAATGTTAATCTGTGGGTGTTTATTGAATCAGGATTCGTAATATCACAAAATGCTTTTTATTTCTTTTTTGTCAACGGAATCCATGTGTGAAAAAATATGAGGCCAAGCAACAATGTAATACAGCTATCTATGTACCAGAAAATTTCATATCTATATACCATGTATAATATTTTTTTAAACTTTTAAACATGACTCTTATATGAAAACTTTTACGCCATTACAATAAGTACTTACATTTTTATTAACAAAAGTAGTAAATACATATTTTTTTTTTAATTCAAAATATAAGTAGGTAAATAAGTACTTACAGCCTCTCCAGTCCATTGAGCTCTAGAAAAGCATCCCGCTCTACTGTGTGTATTAAGTTTTCCGACAGCTGTCTGTGAAGAAACAAAGGTATCGCATTATACATCTATATTCAATGAAATTTTACTAATAAAGTATATTAAGCGAGTTGAGTCTTCTTTTTCCTTTTTTTTATGCAACTTAGAATGGCAAACAAGCTGACAGCCCATCTGATGGAAATTGGTAACCGTCGCCTATAGACATGAGCAGTACCGTGGACATAACAGAGTATACTGTTTCGCCCATGATCGTGGGTGATCATGGGTGGCGATAAAATGTGAAAGTGTCTCAGTCAGATAAAAAAAAAAAAACTATTTCTAAATACATTCATAAACCACGAGGTAAATATATAAAAATAATACAACACAACGTGATCTAAATAGAACCTCCTCTTTTCCAGAAGTCGGTTGCAAAGTTTAAAAGGAAATTAAAGAAAATCGTTCGCCCCTAAACTTTTCGGAAAAAAGAAACTGTCATTATATATTTTGCTTTTTGTATTTTTTTTGTTGCTTTTTTGTTTTTCATTCTTTTATCTCTTTCACTGTGTATTATGCGTGTGTTTTTATTGTAATTTGTGCGCTGTAAGTAATGTAAATAAATTATCTATCTATCTATCTATTCTCTATAAAAGAAGTTAACGCCATCTAGTGCTAAGATAATTAAGATAATAGTAGTAATAAATAGAAATAGCAGCAAGTCGTATACTTACAATATTTTTAGCTCCTTCAAATTTTGAAAGTCGCTCTGGAATATTATCGTTATGTTGTTGCCTTGTAGGTCTCTGAAACAAGAAAAAACAAATGTGTCATATTCAAATACATTTTTTTTTTAAATATATTAGTCCAGGCAAATTATAATGCTGAAGACTAGGCAGCATGGTCTCCGTTACCTTAGCCTGTTCCATAACGGAACAAACGTACTAAAAAAAATTAAATATATTGACAGCTTTTACCAGAGGGAGATTTTGTATAAAAGTCGTTTGCTTGGCCACCTCTGTCCCATTCGTGTTTCAACCATGAAGCAGTTGTTTGCATGGCTGTGTTTCCATTTGAAGGGTGGGATATGCCAGTGAATTTACAGGGTACAGAGGAATAATACCTGAGTACTCAGAAATGGCAACGCATGGGGGGTATCATGGGCGAAACAGTATACTCTGTTATGTCTATGGTACTGCTCATGTCTATAGGCGACGGTTGCCACTTTCCATCAGGTGGGCCGTCAGCTTGTTTGCCCAACTTGAAAGAAGGGATAGTTTTATTTTTGATGAAATAAAATGGATCCGATAGATGGCGGTAAATATTTATTTATTACTAGTGGTCGCTCCGTGGTCGAAATTCGACCATAACATATATTGTAATAAATGAATTTATTATGGTTATTTTTGACATTCAATGAGACCATAGACAAATAATATTAAAGACAAACGATATTAATCTATTCTCAATTTGACCATAGACTTTAACAATAAACAAAACGGTATTTACGCGTGTGTAAGTGTTAAATACATGGTAGTGTGTAATGTTTTTTTTACTGATTTAATGTAATTTTTATGCATAATAAAAAAAAAATCATTCCGCGTTCCTTCTCTTCCGTTCGTCCCGGCTTTGCACGGGTGGACATTTTTAAACTTCGACAAAAAAAAATGCAATTAAAATCGTCAAAAAATGTTCAACATCGGTTACATCCGCTGCGTAGGGAGCCGAGCGCGCGAATGAATCTATCAAGTTTTAAAATGTAAAAAGTGGTTATTATGACATAACGATAATAGTTGGACATATAGTATCGCGGAGTTTTTTGTAGTTATTGATATTTCCTTCAATATTGTAGAACATACTTTTGTTCTATCACCAATAGTTTCCGCAGCGCACGCGACCAAAGATATTTTATAGCATGTTTTTACACCTTGAGTTCCGTTACTAAAGTTTTAGTAAGGATCCCTAATCTTTTCGAGCAATAAATATAGCCTATGTTACTCAGGGTGAATGTAGCTTTCTAATGGTGAAAGAATTTTTGAAATCAGCAAAGTAGTTTTTGAGTTTATTCATTACAAACATACATACACACGAAAATACAAATCTTTCCTCTTTATAATATTAGTGTAGATGTAAATAACTAATCCGGTAAAAGTAGGTAATGTTTACCGCCATCTATCGGATCCATTTTATTTCATCAAAAATAAAACTATCCCTTCTTTCAAGTTGGGCAAACAAGCTGACGGCCCACCTGATGGAAAGTGGCAACCGTCGCCTATAGACATGAGCAGTACCATAGACATAACAGAGTATACTGTTTCGCCCATGATACCCCCCCCCCCCCCATACATTGCCATTTCCGAGGACTCAGATGTTATTCCTCTGTACCCTGTAAATTCACGCCATATCCCACCCTTCACACAGCCATGCAAACACAACTGCTTCACGGTAGAAACACGAACGGGACAGAGGTACCGAAGCAATCGACTTTTGTACAAAGTCTCCCTCTGGTGAAAGAAAGGAGATTAACTTAAACGAACACCGTAATAAGGGATTTTGGAAAATATATACCATAGGTGCGTATGGAAAAGTTAATTGGCCCATTACAACACTTGATTAACTTATTGCTAACTTAACGGCACATTAGCCGCGGTCTGCTCGCCGCCTCACCTAACTCACAGTCACTTAACCTAAGTGCACAAGTTAAGTTGCTGAAGCTTAATTATGTTGTGAAAGGGTCGTAGGTGGAGGGAAGGGTTTTTTATAATTGACTCAAGAAAATTGGGTCAGTGCAGGCTTATTTTGTAGTTGGGCTAGAGGAAATTGGGTATATTTAGTTACGTTTTTATAGTGAGGTAAATAAAATTGGGTATACTTTAGTTTAGTCCATAATTAGGTAGAGAAAATTGGATATACTTAGGTTTATTCCATAATTAGTTAAAGAAAATTGGGTATACTTTAGTTTATTTTAACGTTGGCTTAAGAAAATTGGGTATATTTAAGTCTGGTCCATGATTAGCTAGAGAAAATTGGGTATATTTAAGTTTATTCCATAATTAGCTAGAGAAAATTGGGTATATTTAAGTTTATTCCATAATTAGCTAGAGAAAATTGGGTATATATAGGTTTATTCCATAATTAGCTAGAGAAAATTGGGTATACTTAGGTTTATTCCATAATTAGCTAAAAAAAATTGGGTATACTTTATTTTAAAGTTAGCTAAAAAAATTGGGTATACTCAGATTAATTTTACAATTAGCTACAGAAAATTGGATATATTTAGGTTTGTTTAAAAATTATGGAATAAATAAAGAAAGTTGGATATACTTTGGTTTATTTTACAGCAAGCTAAAGAAAATTGTGTATACTTAAGTTTATTAGACATGTAATATTTTTGCAAAGTTTTAATTGATAAATTTAAATGTTGTTTTTTTTTTTTATACCACTGAGGTGGCAAACAAGCATATAGGCCACCTGAGAGTAAGTGGTTACCGTAGCCTATGAACGCCTACAATACCAGAGGTATTACGCGCGCGTTGCCGACCCTGAAGAAACCTCTTTACCCCCTTTTGAAGAACCCCATGCCGTAGTCTCTTGGGGAAACCTCGGCAGGGAGCTCATTCAATAACCCGAGTGTTCGTGGGAGGAACCATCTCTGAAACCGCGTTGTACGCGACCATTTAGGCTGTAGGGTATGAGGGTGAACTCCCTGTCGATGGCGAGCCGTACGATGGTAGAATGTTTTAGTTAATTTTAGTTACTTTTCATATTATACTGTCTTATCGAATATTATTATGTGGTAAAACATCCAAAGCGACGCGCGCTTGACCGGTTTTAAAAATTATCCTAAAGCCGTTTCGATATCTTCACATACGTCATGAGCCGATGGTCGATTAACCGCTATAAAAAAAAAAAAAAAACACTTTATGACCTCGTTTTATGTTTGCTGTGCAATGTAAATATTTTATTGGGGTTGTTATGTCGTGACCGAGAGGGTTGGTCGGGGGTTAAGAAGATTCAGAAGTGTATTTTTTGTGTTACTTTTTTTTTTAATTAATTTTCAGTCCTGTCGTGACCACGACTTGGTGCAATCCACGTATTATACCAGAGGGAGACTTTGTACAAAAGTCGATTGCTTGGGTACCTCTGTCCTATTCGTGTTTCAACCGTGAAGCAGTTGTGTTTGCATGGCTGTGTTTCGGTTTGAAGGGTGGGATATGGCGTGAATTTACTGGGTACAGAGGAATAACACCTGAGTCCTCAGGAATGGCAACGCATGGGGGGTATCATGGGCGAAACAGTATAGTCTGTTATGTCCATGATACTGCTCATTTCTATAGGCGACGGTTACCACTTTCCATCAGGTGGGACGTCAGCTTGTTTGCCATTCTAAGTTGTATAAAAAAAAATAAAAAAAAAACGTCGAAGCGTCGGCAATAAAGAAGCAGGTATGTAGGTACCGTTTACATATAAAGGCTTTTATATCGTGTTAAGTCCGGACTGTGTATTTTTTTTTTGATGGATGGTAATAGAATGGTAACTCAGCCTGCGCTATCTATGTACACTGGCGGGGCACCAGTGAGAGATGATTGGTGAGGATGAAAAGGCAGGTCAGTTAGCCCATCGTGACGAATTCAACGATACATTAGTCACGATGGTTTCCAGGGGGAACCGCGTGGAGGTCGACCTGATAAGGTATATTGATAGCGATGGGGACTAACCTCCCTTTTATTACTAACAATCCCTTCTCCCCCTCCACATTGTGTATTTAAAATATGTATTTTTTTAAATTATGCAAAGGCTGCTTCGGTTCGTTGCCGTTAACAGTTCATTGTTAATTGTTAATTGGGAATCTCCTTCTTGTCAGTTCAAATGAGCGTTTCCATTCTAACAAGAGCATAAACCTACATAAGTATGTCAACGGTACCCAAACCTAAGGATTAGGCCGACACAAAAAAAAAAAGAAAAACTAAAAGTGGATCCTTTGCCTCGTATAAATAATGTCAGAAAAAAAAAATAAGATTACAAAGGGACCGTCAGTCGTGGCCTTTCTAATCGCCTTATTGGGTCTGTGGCGTAAAATCCTCTTATGTCATAAATTCGTAAAGATACATTGTAATGAAATTATCGTAAAATCGTAACGAAATTGCCGTCACGTAATTGTCAAATGTATAGGTTAACATCTATCCCTTTCTAGTATCAGTGATTTTGTCTATTCCACATTCGAAAATTGGCGCCAATTCATTTTATATTTTTTTTTATTGACCTGACCTAAAATCTTCCTGGTGGCTTAGATTAAGAATAATATTGTACTATAATTATGAGCTTGTATCAGCATCAAAGACTTAGTATAACATAGTTTTCATTATCTAACATCAGCACCGAGTAAATATGGTTTTAAATGAAAAATTTTACGAAAATACAATTTAAACTAAGAACAAGGAATTACAGGAAATCTTTGAATTTAAATGCAGTCCGGTTGTCTAGCTACAATTGGCCGCCATTACTTTTAATTAACTGTAATTGTGATTACTTACTCTGTGGTAGAAGTGTACTAAAAGTTTCCTATTTACACTTTAAAGGCCTTTTCGTCATGAATTGTATTTTTTTTTTATTTTTAGATAATGGTAATTTGAAAGAAAGTACGGTGATAAATGTAAAAAACGAGGGTTGCTTACAATCAATTAATGGCATAACTTATTTTATATTTGGCATTCTCATTGTATTTTTCAATCGACTTTACCGAATTTATCATGGGGAGTGTTCTGAGGAATTGTTCGGATTGATACCTGCTGCTGAGTATTTCCGA